AGAATTATTATAATAATCGTCTTGAAAGCTGCAGTTTTCGCGGCGTTTATCGTAGTGTGAAAGCACCTGCTGTCCTGAAGCATCGTAAATGTCTTCACTTTGGAACTGCTCTGTATGCGAAGTATCCTTAAGGTCCGTTAATACGTCTGAGTCACGAACGAGCTCGTGCTGTGGACTCACTGTCTGGGAAAACAGTCAGAGGCGTGCAGCTGATGTGCTATAAAAATGCAGCCCAAAAAGAAATTTTTAGATTATTCTCATAGGAATCGTTCACTTGCTGCAAACTATTCAGAATGTGGAAAACGTTGATCATTATCAATCTGAAACATCATTTCTAAGGGCCGGTTATAGATATTCATGAAAACAGTAACGTTGCCACTGGATAAATGCTTTACTTTTTACTTTTATATGTTTGGCGCATTGATTTCCGAAATCTCTTTGTTCCAAAGACTAGTGTTAGATTTTCCTTGATCTTAAAATAGATGTTTTTCTGCTTGATGTATACAAATATGTTTGCTCCTTGAGATTTCGAGAGCCGGAAGATTTCTTTCTGGCGGTAGTACGTTCAAAACAGACCTGTGCAAATGGTGTCTTAAATGTCTAGAACTACTCTTTTACTTGCTGACCGGTGTGCACTGTTGATGAGACTTTTCGGCCAGTTACATCACACCTGTCTTTCTGAAAAATGATCCAGTTTATCCGGTTCATAGAGGAGCTAGTGAAGTTAACAGTGATTAGATAGGGCAGGTGTTTTAGGTGGTATAATGAGGACTTTCAAGCAGGAAAATTTGTTGGAGCTGCATATATGAATAGCGAGACGGCGCATTTACGTCAGTCGTTTTCGCAGTGCAACATTCTCTCCGATTTGCTTCACTCTTCGAACGAAAGACACTGCTCATGTACATTTAGAAGTTACTGATAATTTATAGTCATCCCGTGGCAGGCAACGATCTAGCATTATTGATAGATATTTCATCTACACGACTTCCTTATAAGTTATATCACTGCATATGGTTTTCCCAGTTTGAACCTAATTCGTTGGGAAGGGCATGCACTGTTATGGCATAGAGGACACTGTCATTTGTGGCGTTGATTTTCAGAGCACCAGCTGGCTTAGAATACCAGCGCACAGAATTCCACGCATCAGTACCAACAAATTAACTGAAGTCGTAAAATAGAAAGTTTGGCACGAGATTATAATAACGGAAATTTCAAATAAAAATGCTTGGTCACCTGCGCGCTACTGTCTAGCGCAGTGGCGAGAACGTAGCCCAGTGGGTATTATCCTTGTAGTATTAGTATGACGAGATCATTTCAAAGAACTGATCACTACTCCGTGTGCATTTTCCTTCTTACGTAGGCATATAGTGATGGTCAGTTCGAGATATCATCGGCTGTGAGGTGCTCCTTCTCCAGATAGAGGGAACACAATTGCGGTGGTTTGGACATGTTATGAGCATGCTACGGGAAAGAATCGACAGGTGAACTCTGTGACAGACTACTGAGGTTTTCATTTTGGCGGCAGATCGGGACCAGAACCTGCCAAAATCTGAGCGCTACAAGAGGTGAATGCTAATAACCTTCAGGTCTTAAGCGTGGAAGTTAAACACGGCTTCTCTTACTTCAGGTAACATGTGCGTATATGTTTGTTGCGATCATCACTGTGAGCCGTTTGCATAGGCAGAACGTATCTGGTTTTTGATGTTCGCAATATTCGCAGCTTTAAAACATTGTTATTGTAATACACCAGTTATTGCATCGTGGATGAAAATATTTCTCTCCTAGGACAGATATGATTTTACCTTATTCCCACATTCAGTTCACTGTAGTTTACTTTTTGGTTTTATAGGACCATGACCACAACAAGTTGTTCTGGATCGAGCGCTTGAAGAACAAGATAATAATATACAAGAGAATATACAGATAAACAGCGAAACATTCAGCGTGATGATAGGCACTATTGCACATGAGGATTGAGTTGCCGGATAACCGACTCATAATTACTTTCAAATCAGTGATCATCTCTCCATATCACATGCCGGCCTTCTGATCAACATCTGCTGTATTTCGGCTCATCCCCCACAAGGTATAGTCATCTGCACGTTGTCTGGGTGATTTCCTCGAGAACAGCGGTGAAAAATTATCCAACTGCA